GTTTTTCTCTGCCCAGCTCTCCAGCCTGTGTAGGTCTCTCTGAATTCTTTCTTTATCAAGCTTTATCTATCTTTTTTCTGGTAATCTGGTAAATATCCTTCTTTATGCAGGAAGCTTCGGTATGCTGGGTAAAAAAATCTCTTTAATTGGTGCCTAAATATGGTGATTTGTGATTGGTGGGAATTTTTGTTCTTATCCAGGGAGGATGGGGAGCACCGGAGTAACTGCATAGTAGAGTTGTTCTTTTTTGGGTTTTTGTTTGTTTTGTTTGTTTGTTTGTTTTTGGTTTTTTTTTCCATTTTTATTCTAACCCAACTAGACTTTTTTCCCCTTGCAGTGTTAAGGAAAGCTTATTAACTTTCTGGAAATCAATGGCATAAATAAAAATAAGTTTATATAAGCTTAGTGTTTATAAGCTGGTTTAATTTATATAAATGAAAATTGTATTCTGAGGGTAAACATATTCATTGCATTTTCTTTTTCATTTGTAGATGGACACCAACATATTTCTTAACACTTCCAAAAGACTTTTCAGGTTATGCTACAGCATTCATAACTATTCATAACAATGTTAATACTTTAAAAATATTCTATCTTTTAGGTGCTGCAATACTTAGGATTCCCATCTTGTACGGAGAGGTAGAAAGACTGGAGGAAAGTGCTGTGACTGTTATGTTCGATAAAGTGCAGTTCAGTAATAAATCTGCCAACATGGACCACTGGCAACAAAGATTTCCTACTAACGTCAAGGATGTAGCAACTGTTTGCAGACAACTAGCAGAGAAGAGAATGCTGGTAAGAATTTAAAGAAACAAGCCTCTTCGCAGTAAAAACTGTTTGAATTCTTGGCTTTGTTTCTGAATATCTGAGAACTGCCTATAACATGCATTATTCTTTGCATTTCTGGAGCACTGGGAGGGAGGAAAGAACTAGCAGTAATACTACAGTTCCTTTTCAAGACAGTGTGTGGATATTCTGATATTTGCAACAAAAGTGAGTGTAGTGATAGGACAGATCCTTCTGAAAATTGTCTTGTGTCTTTTAGTATACAGGAGAGAAATGCAAATACCTAACTTATTCTAATACACCTTTTACAAATTGCCATTTTGGACTAAAAAAAAACCCCAGCCATGGTGGTTGAATGTAATTCTCAAAGGTGCCCTTGTTTATTTTATTAAGAACACTGAAGTAGCAAAAACAAGCCACTGGACTTAAGTACTTTATTGTGTTTATTCACCACAGCATCTTCAGATTAACACCTTTGCAAGGTAACAAAACCAACTAACCACCTTTATTTTTCACATGTATAACTTGGAAAAAAATGAACCATGCACATATGGTGGACGTGATGCAATCAATTCGTTTGATAGAACTGGTATATCGTTTGCAGTTTACCATTCTGAATGTGTGTGGTGCTTTTTGCATTTGTTTTTGAGTAAGTGAGTAGTATAGAATAGCCAAGTTCCTCCTCCCCAACTATTTGACCTTGCTTGGTTGGTTGGCTCGCTCCTTATCTTGCACAGGAGTTAAGTCTGAGGGCTAGCTGCTTTTTTTCACTTCTGCTTCCTATTTCTTTTGCAGGACCCATCAGTAAAAGGAACATTTCACTGGTCTGGCAATGAACAGATGACTAAGTATGAAATGGCATGTGCAATTGCAGATGCTTTCAACCTTCCCAGCAGCCACTTGAGACCAGTAAGTAATGTGTTGTTTGACCTGCAGAAAGGTGGCTGTGCTTTATCGTTTCAAGTAGTTCTCACGCTGGGTATAGAAGTAAGCTTCCTCTTCAGGACGATCTATGTGACTAACTCTAGCACAGCAGATGTCTTGGTGAGGATGCTATCTGGTATCTAACTGGGGAAGACAACAGCTGCTTTGAACTGGTGAATTATGAAAATTACCCAGTCAATCAATAACCAGTTTTGCACTCTGTAGCGTAACAGTATTTCTGCAGAACGGTTCCCCTTAGTAATGAGTAAATCCATATTTTTTTTGTTGTATTGTCCTTAAAAAAGCTTACAGATTGACAGAAGGTGGGAATCTGTAAGAATTTTTCAGTGTCCAGATTTATTTCTGAATACATGCACATAAGAACTTCAGATTATTTTTGCTTTGCTTAAAACACCTGTCCTGCAGTTTTATTAACACTTAAAAGTAAGACTACTCTTAAAGACATACTGATAATGTTGTGAGAATATAACATGTAAATAATATTTTATTTATATCACAAACATATTCCAAGGATTCTGAACTAGTAAAGGCTGGAACTGAAATGTGGATTGGAAGATGGAGAGAAAAAGAATAGAGAACACTTCAGTTAGTCTGAATTTTTTCTGCCCAGATCTATTTCTCTGCAAGTATATTGATCAAGACGTGGTTCTGTCAACATTTTAGAGTATTTTCTACTTTTTTATTCCTATTTTCACCCCATGACTATAATTACATGTAGAAAAGCATAAGTAATGGGCATGAGTGAGGAAAATAATTGAGTAATTATTTTCCTCACTCATTGAGTAATTGAGTAAGGAAAAATTTAACTTAAAAGATGCTTCGTGGTGCTCTGCCTGACATCTCTTACATTGAAATGAAGTGAACCATGAAACAAGCAAACAAACAAAAACCACAACCCCCCCAAAAACCCCAAAGAATAGTTCAAAGGCAAAGGGAGGAGAGGAACATATCTATATAGAAAGCTATGAAGGAAAACTCAATGAGCTTATAAGAATAAATACTCTTCTGTCATTTCTGATGATTTGTTGATGTGTTGGTGATTTTTCCTGTTTATGTTTTAGATTACTGATTGTCCAGTTGTGGGTGCTCTTCGTCCGAGGAATGCGCAGCTAGATTGCTCCAAGTTGGAGATGCTGGGGATAGGTCAGAGGACGCCATTTCGAGATGGGATCAAAGAATCGCTTTGGCCTTTCCTTGTTGATAAGAGATGGAGACAGACAGTCTTCCATTAGTTTGTAACTTTTTTAGTAAAAGTATGGTATGTGGCACTTTTTTAAAAGAAAAAAATAGTTTTGTATGAGTGTTCTTAAATTGTGACATTTATGATTCTGATTTAATCAGGTAAACATATGGTTTTGCACTAGTGAAATTGTTAGCCTAAAAAAAGTTCAGTGACAAAAACTGAGCCTATTTGATGTCATGGATCTTTCCTTCCATTCGTACCTGTCTAACATAATATCTGTTCCTAGCGGATTATGGTTCTTGGTAGTCATTTGATGCTAAGAATGACTCAGATCACTTGTAGACTTACTTTTGGCTGAAATACGTTGTTGATGCTTAAGGTCTGTGCCATTGTTGTATATACCATTTCTCTTCATTAAAAGACATGGTCACTTACTTTATCACCAAAAATCTGAGGTTTTGTTTTTAACTTCTGAAGGTGGTGTTCTTATGAAGTTAAACTGAAGTAGGAATCGTTAAATGTTTGTTTTGCTTGAGCTCTGATCACAATGTTTTTTAAAAAAGTGAAACTTTATTTTTGCAATTATCAAGTGTACTTTTTATGCTTGAAATATTTTCAGAATGTTCTGTAATTTGAATGCCTGAAGCTTCACGTTTGTACAGTAAGTTGTATGCATTTGTTTTAATGGTGACATAAAAAAGCTAGAAGAGGGTGGGTAACAAGTAGTAGTGACCTGGGGTTTTTTTGGGTGGGAGGGTGGGAGTTGGAGGATTTTTATTTTTTTCCAAATAGAGGGTTGTTTGGTTTTTTTGTATAAAAGCATGAAATGTTTTCTTCTTTGTCTTTTTTTTGTGCTGTATTTGGGATTGGTGAAATTAGTGGGAGGAAGATGTTTGTTAGTCAATACACATGAGACAGAGGAAAGGTATTTCAAGAAGTGGTAGCACTGTGGCTTCTTTTGCACAGACTGACAGATCTTGCACTGATGTAGCTTGTTCTGGAACAGCAAAGCATGTATGTTGAAGGTTTGAACTGTAATATGTAACTGCAATAGTCTAATATAAGCAAATCTTTAATCTGCTGAAGTCTAGTCCTTAAAGTTGGACTCAGTAGCCAGGTAAAAGTGGAGGAAGAACATGGTTTGTAAAGGTTAGCTTCCTTCTGAAATTGTAGAATCAACAATATAAATGTTCTGAGATTGCCAGCAGATTATTAGTAACACTAGGAAAAGCTACATTTGGATGATGATTTATTTTTCTGAGATTGAAATGAAGGGGAAAGGGAAGATGTTAAGATTTTATTTTAAAATATACACATATAAGTGGAGGGACACAAAAATAAACCAAGTGAAGATCTTCTAAAGGTTATCTTTATATTCAGTCCTTTAATTTCCAACTGGCATATGCTAAGAGTTCATAATCCTGATTTGTTTTTAGTCTGAAGTCCTGATATACACATGGTAACCTATCTCCAAAATGACAATAAATATATATTGCCAGCATGAGAAACAGTTGTTGATTCTTTCTTTACCATCAGGATTTGTTTATCCGAGTCATAAATATTTGCAGTTCTTCTTGAAATCTGTGTGCCCTTTCAGTGATGATCTCCCCTTAATTCAATGAATTATTTCCAGAGTTAGATTAGGTTGGATTAGTGTTTCGCTGTCAGTGTGCCACTGCCTTGGGGATGTGATAAATGCACACACAGAACAAGTACAGAAGGTTTTGAAAATACGAGCCTGAAACATCCTCAGTACTTGATCAGGAAGATTCTGAGTACATCCCTTCCGCTTGCAGCAGATAAGTTTTAAATTTGACACCAGAAGATACTTAATCAGAAGTGACAGTATTTTTTTTTTAAATCAAGTAGCTAAATAATTCTCAAAGTGGTTTTCTTTTTATTTCATTTCCATTTTAAAAATGTGGGAAGATAAATTAATGTTTGGAAGGCAGTATATGCTATTCTAGATTTATTGCTGATTTTTGTTAAACTGTTCTCAAATTGCTTATTGGTGGATCAACAAAAAAATGTGGATGTTATTATACTGACTAGGGCAGTATCCAATTCTGTATTAATTTTTTTCTTTTTAATGAAAGGAGCTTTTTTTTTTTTTTTTTTTTTTTTAACCAGGATGATGCAAAACTTTCTCTTCCACATACAGGAAAGCGCTCTAACTGTCTCCACTCCCTCCAACTGGTATAAGTTAAATAGCACTGCATTCATTGTTGTAAATGGAGCAGTTTGACCAGAAAGGAAAAAGAACAACTTCTCTCCCAGATGTAAAGCACCTAATAGGGATGAGTTGGGCATTTTACTGGGAGGAGGGAATTGCAATTTTGAATTTTTCTCACACTGAGCAAATGAGTCTCAGTCTTAGTGCTCTAAACACTGAACTGCAAAATAAAAAGGTATAATTTACCCCTCCATCTGCCCTCGTTTGTTCAGCAGCCAGCGGTCTGTTAAAACTGCAGCAGCTACTGCAGGTGACATGGGCAGACAAACGCCTCCAGTGCTTATCTTGTAGGGCTGATGGATACTCTTGAAACTGAAAAACCCACTTGCTACAGGAGCAGAATTCTGGAACTTGTATCTTGGAAATGTGTTTGTAGTTTTCAAGGAAACTGAGATGGCAGTAAATCACTGGGGGTTTTTTTTGTTTGTTTGGTTTTGGGGGTTTTTTTTGAGAACCAAAATACAGGAGTTAACTATCCAAGTTTATAAGTGGTTTTGATTCTTAAATATGGGGTGGTTCAACCTGGCCCCCTCCTAAATTGGATTAATCTTTACTTTTCATCCTAGGGTACATGAATTTCAGAGGTGGGGAAAAAAAAGAAAAGAAAAGAAAAAGAAAAATATTTATGGCTGCCTTCTTAAATTCTTCTGCATTTTCAGAATAATTTTTGTGTTTAGTAAAGTCTACAATTGTTCAAACAGGAAGGGGTGGTTTACAGAACTCTTCCTGTGCAGCATTCTAGACAACATTTCTATATAAAGTGTTGGCAATATGATTTAATTTATGTATGTGTTGCACTTTGTATATATTGTTACCCAGCCCAATACTTAATTTTTCCACTGCAAGAGGAGGAGTATATTCCTTTGAAAAAAGGGAGTCTGGAACTAGTTACAGTAAAGTGTTGTAACTCTGGAGTAAGTTTCAAAGGATGACAGCATGACTGGAAGATACAAAAATGACAAGAGCACTGTCAAAAAAAAAGTGATTCTCTTAGTTGTGTGCTTGAATAGTTGGATGACCAGAGATACAGAAAAATCAAATGTTAAGGTGATAGAAATTTTCCCACCTCCTACTCCATCCCTTCCACAAAAAGCTGTTTAGATATATTCAAAGGCTAATGTTCAATGAAAACTATTCTCAGCTAGACTGCAGCTTAAGGCTCTTGTTACTAATCCTTTTAAAAAATGTCTTGGGTGTAGTTTTGACAATGCAAAGTTTATATTGAGGTGTAAGGAAAATCAACCTAAAAGGTTTTGTAGTAGGTCACACTGACTATAACTGGATTAAATGAGTAGCTCCTTTCATTCATTAACTTTTACACCATGGCTCAAAAGTATAACCTAGATTGAAGCTTCACTACGTTAATCCTTTTAACCAGGCATGTTGGGGTAATTCTGCCTAAATTCTGTCAAAGTAATCATGAACATCAAGCTATCATAATTAAAGATGTGGGAAGTCTCAAACTGAGATATTAAATCCTTTTGTATAAATGTGTGTTAAAATCTGGATTCTGTTCAGATAAATAGACACTTTATTTCAGTATGTTAATGATAAGATTTAGTGATGTATTTTCTATTTTGTTCCATATGTATAAAAATAAATATTAAACTTAATCCAGCTATCATTTCTTTATTTTACTACCATAATCTGAAGGCTGTGACAGATTACAAAGGTCAAAGGCGAGTATGTTCTTAAATGTCATGTCTGTTAACTACACAGTTTTCCTGCCAAGAAAAATTGTTCTTAATGCTTAACAGGTGAAAATCATAGCTTTTACATATTACAGTTACAAAATCAGTAACAGTCTGTCATCTTTAACATAATTATTTAAACCAAAATACAGAAACCACAGTTCCTCTTACCTTTTTTTGTATCAAGTCAAGAATAATGAGTCATTATTTCAAGGGTTCCAGCAGGAAATGACAGATGAGTTAACTCCACCATTTCTGTGAAGAGAAGACTGCTGTTCTGTTATATCTTTCCAGAGGGGATCTGCATCCTCATCATCCCCCTCACCATAAAGCGTAGTAGTTGCCCTGGAGAATGTAGTCTCCAAGGTGCTTTATTACAAGACAGATGCCTTTCATGGTATTTCCCTCCTTTGGTTGTAGATCTCTAAGAGAGTGCTATAGGTATTGCAAGAGACAGTGGAACTAGTACTGTAATTTGCCAATCACTTTTAAGCTATGTTGCTGTTGAAAGAATTGGTTTCATACTCTTTCCTTTTCTCGGCTGGCTTTGTGTTTCTGGCTGCGTGGCTCTGTAGGTATTTGTGTTGGTGAACAAGAGCCCAGGAACTGTTTAGGATCAAAATCATTGTGATTGCATCAGACATGATCTTTGTGTGCACAGGGAAGAATGGCTTCTTTTTACAGGAGCAGTGCCAATTTCTGCCAGTTTAGTGATTGTGAAAGTATGGCAATACAGAGTCAGTCCTGCTTGAATCCTCATTCTAGGGTTATTTCATGTTTATATTTATGTATTCATTGCTCTCTGTCAGCTAAGGGGATAAAGAAAGAAACGCCACTGTTTTTAAAGTCTCATGTTCTGTTTAGACTGCAGATACGCACTTCACTTTTTATCTTTCAGGCCTTCTAAACCCAAAGGACAGATTTTCATAAATTAAATGAAGCTTCTTATATCATCTAGTGTCTTCTGATTTATTGCTATATAAAGATGAGATAAAGACCATATGGATTTGTCCCTAAACAAAAGGAAAGTAAATCAAAGTTGAAGTCAGCATTTTATAAATATTTCAGTTCTTTTCTAGATCTCCACTATTGTTCTAGGGAAATATAATATTGGAATAAGAAAAAATATACAATGTATTTACTTCATTTCAAGAGAAATGTAAGTTGTTGACTTAGTGTTGTGCCCTTTCTCTACCTTCTAAAGCTAATTTTATTAGCATGGCTTCATAGCAGTGATATCTGTTAATATCTGTGCACAGAGAAGCATTTCACGTTGTTCAGTGACAGAGGTCTGTTTTTAAACAGTACGTTCGGGTTTATTGCTGGGCTGAGGGGCTGCAGAAAGGTAGTCACTGTAAACCTTCACAAAGTTGTCATTCTCCCCACTTGACTTCATTTTGCTGGTAGAAGTTTGTTGTAAGTAGCTAAAGTATGGATCAGTTCCAAAAATGGTGTGCTTCTCTTCTCATAACTGATAAACTGAAAAGCCGTCAGGGCAAGGTAGAGACTTCTTATTAGACCAGTGCTCTTGAAGCCATGAAGCAGTATCTACTACCAATTTCCCAGAAAGCTGGGCTCCTGTGAGTTAATAGAAACCTGACATTTTTCAGGAGTGAGTCATTTGAGGAAATTTCTTGGCTGTTTTGGGAAGCACTAAGGTATAAGAAGTGTTTGCCTTCCAGTAGAAGCTCTGTAGCAGAAGTGCTACTGATGTAATCTCCAAGGGCTTTTGTGCACGGCTGGACTTTCGTGCCCGTCAGATTTATAAAACAGGTTGTTGCCAGGTTGGTTTTTTTTTTTTTAAAAAAAGGTTTAAACTGCCTCCTTGTATTCCAAATTTCCAA